ATCACTTCTACACAAGACTGAATATATTTGGACTAGCACTTGACAGGTGGTGAGAAAGAAGACTCCAATTTCCCCAAAAGGAGAAAGTTTCCCTCTCTTATGCATTATGACTTGCAAAATTGGCAGCGGTTTCATTCCAGGGTGAGAGTTTCTTGAATTCATAGATACACATCGGTAAGGAGGCAATTTGCTCATTATTTCTATGGAGGGATAGAAACCATCCTGTGGTTCACTGCAAGCTGAAAGGAAAACACATTATCACACAGACAAACACATTAAACCAAGAAGGACAAAGCTATCAAGCAGAAGACGAGCGTCCACACCAGCAGACCACAGTATTTGCTGAGCTTTTCGATGAAAAAAAGCATTCGGAATCAATTTTCAAGCCATGATTGCAAAAATGTCAGTATCTCAAACCTATCGTGTGAAAAAATAAAAAACGTGGAAATGGAGGCTAATATACATTAGAAAGGATATCAAGATGCTTCGAAAGCCAACTTTAGAGAACGTGTACAATGCAAAAACATTTCTAAATGATTTTAGATGATATATATGCCAAAAAAGAATAACACTAAACATATCTTGAAATTGAAAGCACTCAGATATTAATATAACTTTGCTTTCACACTGTGATGACGACAACACACCATGAACATGAGTGGAAAAATGCTGAAAGCCGAATATGATTACTTTCCATTCATATCCATGTTTGATCTCCTTTTTAAAATCTTTATCTCTGAGTTAATGGTTATAGTTGATTGCATCCAAGATAAAAAAAAAAAAAGATAGCAAGAGGAACTCTTCACATTTTCACACATTGAAATCCCCCTTATCTATCATATCATATCTGTCAAAACCAAACTCGAGTTTTCTTTCAACAAAGTATGGGGGGGGCAGTCTTGCACATTCAGCTGCACTGTCTTTGTGCAGTGATAATCAGAAATTAGATAATGAGAAATTAGCCCATATCTCATTAAGATGAAGGGAGAATAATGTCTCTTGGGGTCAGAGGGTAATCCCTGCCTATTGCGTCCTGGCCACATTGCCAGGCAATTAAGCACAAGAAAATGAGAACCCAAGGAGCACTATGCACTTATTAAAATCCTAGTAACAGGGGGCAATGTGGGAAGTATGGAAAGAGCATAGCAAAAAGATTTTATTTTAAAGATTTTAAAGCTTTTTATTTAGCTTCAAAAAAAAACAACTTGTGTGATATTTAATGTATTTTTATCAAGGTTTTTCCCTCTGGTGGAATATTTGTAAGATTCTCATCTTTCCAAATCTTTAAGTGAAAAACCACATGATGAATCGTGATGCAGCATTTAAGAAATAATCAAACTGTATGATTCAGTCTTCAGTCTCCTTTGCATCAAGGAAGAGAAAAACAAACTGATACCTACTACTTCCTTGCACAGACATAAAAGAAACAAGAGACGCCAGAGACGAAAAACCAACCTGATGCTTGCCAGCACCATTCTGCATCCAATTATGATGTATTAGGAGAGGTACTAAGCTATCAGAGAAGCCAGCAAATCTGCCCTGTCTCAATGAGTTGCAACATTTCCAGGCATACATTTTCCATTGATTAGAGTAGCTCAATTCACAGTCTGCAGTTTATCACTGCTTTGGGACCGGTAATCAATTCTCTAATGCCGTTTGAGCCTATTCACTGGAGCTATGATCCAGTCGTCACCAAGCAGATACACACATACACACAGCCATGCCCACTGATATTGTGGATGCAGCCCTGTGTACATCCAGGCCCACACCACATATAACCCAGATGGCCATCATAAAAGCAGAGGACAGCTCTAAAATATTAACTTACCAAGTGTAGCAGTGATGGGGCACTGTCATCTAATGGTATTATCAAAATGAGTGCAGCTCTCCTGAGGCAGACTCTGGTTCCTGATTACTAAGCAGTGGTGGACCCTGTTTGTGACCAAATCTGATCAGCATAGCACCAGACATAGGGAAGGCCAGTCAGGAACTCAGCCCGAAGGCCCCTTATCTCTACCGACAGGCCGTTGGTCCTTTATAGGCAATGATGTCCTCCCAGGAATTAATCTGATTGGGGTCTGGTGGAAGATTAAGTTCCAGTAAAACTGCTAAAGGAAAGGTATGGTCCTAACCTCCCTTCTAAGCCATTCCTTTCTTGGATCAGATGGAATTACATTTTGAGACTTTGTACAGAGCAGAGGGAGGACAGGACTGTATCTCTGAATGTTTGCTTCAGGCAGGGCTTCAACTGAAATTAACTGACCACCGCTACCTTAGACTATTATCACTGAGATCATTTTTACACTGAAACAATTTGGTGAAATAGAAGCCATGAAGCTTCAAACCTAAATTAAAACAAAGCCTTACCTAATTCTGCATTTGATCCATCATCATCTGCCTTGCAAACAAAATATAATATTAACATTCCTCTCCTGGTACTGATTAAATCCCTAAAACCCTATCACAGGTTTTCACATTTGTGAAAATAAATACTTTTAAATGGCTTAGATGTAACACTGCCCCTCTGCCTTTATCAGTTTAAGTAGATGTGTGAATATGCAACATTATCAATTCTTTTATCTCCTATGGTATCATACAGCTTCAAATTTTGACTGTCTATAAAACAGCATAATATAGTTTTGAAACCCATATCATTTGTATCTGTGAATTATATCTGACAATCAAGAAATCACTGAAATAGGACCAAGTGAAGTAGACTAAAAGATACTCAAAAGCCAGACATTATGGCGGGGTCAAAGGAAATTCAGGAAGAAATGAGAGATACAATAATTTACAGCAATTCTGCAAAGATGAGTGGGCCAAAATTCCTCCACAGGGCTGTAAAAGACTCATTGTCAGTTCTTGCAAACAAAGGGCCATGTAGGTTTGGATTTATTTCCCGCCTTACTAAATAAACGTCTTCATTTAGAAACTGCATTTTGTGTTTACTCGTGTTATCTTTGTATAATATTTACATTTGTTTGATTATCTGAAACATTTAAGTCTGACAAACATACAAAAAAAATACTGAAAACACTTCAGGTGCCATATAATGACACATGTAGGATCTTGGTCAGGCTTTCAAGATAGACAGCTGCAATCCATATGTTTTTGACTAGTAAGCTTAGTATATAGGTTTGGATGCGCCAACTGTGACTTCACCACAGCCTCATAAGCATTTAAACTGGCGCACAGGGCACACTGGACTCTTCCCCTGAATGATTAATGTTGCGACTCGGAAACAAAAAATAGCAGCAGAAGAAGTCAACACAAAGCAAAGCAAGTCATAGACTCATATTGCTTCATGAAGGTAACAAAAATCAAGAAGTGCATGACAAACCAAAACAACACCAAAATGCAGTGTGCACCAGCTGCAAGTGTATACTAGGTTTAAAGTCCCTTCTTTTCATGCTGTGCTGAAAACTGTTGTGTAAAAGTTTCAATTACCGTATTTTCCGCACTATAAGGCGCACTTAAAATCCTTTAATTTTCTCAACAACAAAATTTTCTCAACCTTATAATCAGGTGAGCCTTATGTATGAATTCTGTGCTTACAGACCTCGAACCGATTTTATGTGGTACACGGCGCTTAAAATTCTGTCAAAAAATGTTTTAGTATGACTTTGGGAAGCTACGAAGCCGCACCGCTTGATGGATTGTTGGAGCATTACGGCTCCATAGTCAAGAGCCTCGCAGAGTAATCTGGGTCCAAAACTCAGTCTGCTTCAGGTCCCAAAGTTAAAGAGCAGTGTGGCATCACTGAGAGTTAAATACTGTCTAAATTATTTCATCTTTAATAAAATGATCAGTGTTGCTGCTTTACCAGGTGTAACAATGAAGTTTAACATCCAGGCATCCATGAAAACAGAATTTATTAAATTTAACGGAGTTAGAAGTTAGCAGAAAGTTAGCTCGCTAGTTTCCACCTAAACATGATCAGACTGAGAGATTTCTGAAAAAATTAAAACGTACAGCTCTGCTATCACTTCCAACATAAATGAAGACAGAAAACTAAACAGCAGTGACGTTTGTAGGGTTACTGAAGTTGGACTAGCTGGTATATAATGATGTGCTACATGATCGCTCGCACACAGCTATGTTAGCATAACATAAACAGTGAAGCTGGAGGAATAATGCTAACTTTTTTCCACTCAATAAAAGTTAACGTAAGGGTTCCCGATGGTCAGGAACAAATGCAATCGCATGGCAGGATGCTGTAAACGGACCAAACTTCAGTCAAGAGAACAAGTGAGATAATCCATCCACAATACGAGGTTAGTCATAATGTACTGCAACAACATGGGAATAGAGCAGCTGCGAGAGAATTCAACATTAATGAATCAATGGTACAGAAGTGGAGGGAGCAAGAAGAATGAGTTGAGTAAAATTTGACTTATCTGACTGCTTAATGTGCCTTATAATGCGGTGCGCCTTATGTATGAAAACAGTGCGTCTTCTAATCCAGTGCGCCTTATGGTCCGAAAAATACAGTGATTCATTCCATAAATGTGGTAATAATAGCTCATAAAGGAATTGCCTATTTGTGTTTTAATCACAGATGGTTACATTTTGTTATTGTCTTTATGTTGTTTCTGCTACTTTCTTATTTTTATTAGGGTAAACTATAGTGTCTAAAGTAAAGTCACAGGCAAAAATTATATATTTAATAATACTTTCATTCAGTGGATTAACTTGACATAAATCAGCCCTTAAATGTTTATTGTTTAGTCACAGAATTCTTTAAATGATATTTAATCCTTGGTTCTGATGCCCAAAACTTCCATATAGAGGCTCATTTGCAAACATTCCAAAAAAACACTTTGGAATACATTAATAACATTTAATTTGTTTTTTCCCATGATTTGGGAATGATAAACGTAAATACCAACTTCTGAAGCCTAGAAGTAAAATAACCTCTGTATTCACTCAAAAACACACACAGTGCTCCAAAATGGCTGCCACTATTTGCCATTAAAAATCCAGAGAAGCACAAAACTTACTTTGGTGTCTGTGTGTCATCCAAGCGGTTCCCCAGCTGGAACTCATGGGATTTGCTGCGGTGCAGAGCGGTGAAGCCTGGCAAAAGATGGATAAGTTTGCGGCTTGGCGGAGGTGGTGTTCCTGGGGCCTTCACCTTATTCCTTCGCCGCATGGGAGGAGTGCCAGGTGGGGTCATGGTGTTGACCACCAAATGAGTCCGAGGAGGGGTGTGACCAAAATGCCTCTGGCGGGGTGATGGGGGCAGGGAGCGATGACCAGAGTCCAAGGGAGGGAAGAGCCCTGAAGAGGGGCTGTCGACAGTGAGTCGATCGGCATACAAAGGGGGGGCCAGAGCCTGTGGGCTGTGGCACATGTGCTGGTTGTACTTGGACTGGACTTTGGGGCTTTGAGAGAGCTGGAACCGAATCCACTGACTGGCCTCTGGCTGGCACACCGGAGTGTTTTCTTTGCCAGATTCTGATGTGGGCCACTGAATGGACCAGTCTTGTTTGGTCTGGCTCCCTGTTGAAAGTCCACAAAGACAGAGACAAACATCTGGTTGTAACATGTTGCTAAAATACATTTTTCACAATTTTACAAAAATAACAAAATAACATATTTTAGCTGCACGTAGTGGTTTCAACTCATGCAAATAGTTTTGGTTTAGTTTGTCCAGGTGTGGAGATATCCGTCTACAATTCAATATCCACCTACAGTACTGTACGAAAGTCTTGAGCCGTCCCTCAATTCTTCATTTTTTGCTGGGAAAAAGTGGAATAGGTGCAGTGATTCATTGACTCATCCAACAACGAACATCAAAAGATATAAGGCAAAAACAGAGTTTGTACAAATAAAACAAGCTTCATGTTCATTCTTCAACCCAGCCTGAACTCTCTTAAGCAGTTAGTCTTCAGGAATAGTTCTCCAGGCTTCTTGAAGGACATTCAAAGCTCTTCTGTGGATGGTGACTGCTTTTTGCTCCACTCTCACACTTCTTCAGTAATGTTGAGCTCTGGGCTCTGGAGAGACCAATCCATGTCTGATAATGTTCCATTGTGTGTATTTCTATCCAGGTATGCTTTTACTGCTTCGGCAGTATGTTTGGGATCACTGTTATGATGAAAAATACAGCTGATATATAACAGCTCTAAGGCCATGTTCAGAAGGTACTGCATGTTGGCTCAAAATCTGAATGTACTTTCCGCATTCATAATTCCAAAAAACATTACATACACCACTGGCTGAAACGCAGCCCCAAACCATGACAGAGTCTCCAACATGTTTATAGACGGCTGTAGACACTCACTCTTTCTCGACTCGCTCTGTACCTCTAACAATTTGAGTTAACGTGTTCAAATTCTGACTCATGACTGTATATGACCTGTTGCCACTGAACTGATGACTCTGTCAGGTCTTGTGCTTTGCTGGATTTTTTCCTATTTCCTTACATGACTGTATGTACTTTTGTGTACTTAAGTACAAGAACTTCACTGAAAATGAGTGAAAAAAACAGCCAATTTAAAGATCTTCAAAAAAAAAACCCTGAATAACTATAGCTTAAGACCATTCTTAAAAATCACTAAAAACTCCTTGGAAAAAACAAAGGTTTGAGGGGTGACTCATGACTTTTGCATAGTACTGTGTGCAATATATTTTACATGGAATAATAAATGGAATTCTGTTCATGTTTCTCACAGCTTTGTAAAAGACTACCCATGAAAAACTAAAATGCAACATTGCTCTGCAAAACAAAAAATACTTGCATTTTTTTTAAATGAACCCAAAACTAAAACTGTTTGTATATCAAGACACAACTTAGATTAAAGGAAGAAGTTATTTTTTTGTAATTTGAGCATTTTGCAATAAAATGGTGCAGTTAAACTAAGCACGTTCTTCGTGTGTGTGTAATACTAAAATATCCATAAGCATTTTTTGTCTTAATTGAAGCATTTGATGAAGTCCTAGGGCAAAGAATATATTTACAACAAGTTAACTGCATTAATCTGAGCAATGAAAAATACATTTTTTCCATTATCTGATGTGAGCACACGAGCAGCAGTGGTGTTCAAATATGCTGGCGTGGAGCAGATTAAGCATCGCTTGATGGAGGAAGAGAATGAGAAATGGAAAAGTGCTCAAAAACAGAACAGGGCAAAGCTGCATGAGTTAAAACACAAGCTGACTTTTACTAAAACTAAACTTTCAGCTGAATGACAGAGAAAGATCAACAGAGAAAAAAATACTTGAAAGTGAGCAGCCAAAATGAGTGTTTTTGAGTTCAGATGACAATACTTTACCTCCATTATTGTGCAATTTATCCTCCTCAAGTTGTTCTTCAGAAAGAAACAAAAAAGGAATGTGTTTATTGATCTGGAAGAGAAACGACTGAAATAGTGTGCAGTATTCTATCCGTCTATCTACACAACCAAATGCACAACCAAAAGGCTATTTAGAAAAACAAAACATAAAGTACAATTGATCTTGGGTACATCGAAGCAGATGCAGCATCTCATGCATGACTGAGTGTGCACAAACTTGACCTCACAGTTTAAAAAAAATGTTTTTGACCGTCAAGCCACCATTAATGCAAATTTTCTGTCAACAACCCCATACTCTCTTCTTTTTTGTGTGCCATTATTTTTTTCTTCCATCTGACATTGTCTCTAAAGAACTATAAGCAATGCAAATGCACACACTTTCACAATGGCAACATCAAATGAACCACAAAAATATCAGCAATAAAAAGTCCCAGAAGAATTGCAAAAGTTAGAGGAGGGTGGGGGCGATGGGGGTAGTGAGCAGCTTTTCTATAATGTTATGAAGAAGATGCTGGAAGAAATGATGAGTTATGGGAAGAGACAACTGAAGACACAAGAGTCCTGATATATGGCAAGTTTCAAGGGTGTCATTTTTTTTCTTTAAATATTTTCATTTGTTCTGCATCTGAGAATTTTTAATAGTTGCTAACACATCACCACCCTACAGAGAGCTGGTACCACAGGAGAGGGATCTGGAAGATAAAGACTCTTCCTCCTATTCAACTCTTAAATACCAGTACCCAAGAAACGGCAAGTAAACCAGCAGCGATCCAGAGTAAAAATCTGGTTAGATAAGATTTTTAGGGGTGAGTACAATAACCTCAGTTTTATCTAAATTTAGAAGCAGAAAAATTTGAGGTCATCCAGGTCTTCATGTCTTTAAGACATCCCTGCAGTTTAATAAATTGAGGTGTGTTATCTGGCTTCATAGATAGATAAAGTTAGATGTCATCTGCATAGCAGTGAAAATGTATGCTATGGCTTTTAATGACGGTATCAAAGGAAAGCATGTATGATGTAAAAAGAATAGGTCCCAGTACAGAACCCTATGGAGCTCTATAGTTAACCTTTGTGTGTGAAGAGTGTGTTAGATAGATATGATTCAAACCACAGCATCACTGTGCCTATAATCCCCATGCCGTTAATGCCGTTTCCCTATTGTAAATCCCTATTGAAACTCCCCCCCCCCAAAAAAAAACCTCCCCTGCTAATGATTTGTTCGATGCTTTAATGATTACTTAGATGCTTTAATGATTACCAGTTGGTTTTTTTATGGTTAAAGCCTTATTTGTGAAAAAATTCATGAGGTCATTACTAGTTAATGTTAAAAGAATGGTTGGCTCAATTGTGCTCTGACCTTTTGTCAGCCTGGCTAAAGAGAAACCTGGAGTTGTTCTTTTTTCTTCAATCAATGATAAATAGTGAGATGTTCTGGCTTTACACATGGCTTTTTTATAGAGCAACGAACTATTTTACCAGGCTTAATGGAGATCTTCTAAAATAGTGAGACACCATTTCCTCTCCAGATTATGAGTTATCTGCTTTAAGGTGTGTGTTTGAGAATTATATGTTTGAAAGAAATTATATCTATAAACTTAGTTACACACTTTAAGAAACATCTGCTGTGGCGAAATTTATATCCCATTGCTGAGTAATCCATTATTGTAAATGTACATGTTATTAGGAAATGATCAGACAAAAGCAGATTTTCTGTTAACTTTTCAGTTTCTATGCCATATCTCAGAACAAGATCTAGAGCGGGATTAAAATTATGGGTGGCTTCTTTTAAATTTTGAAAGATGACTATCTAGATGGATGTTAAAATCACAGACAATAATGTGTTTATCTGAGCTGACCCCTAAAGCAGATAAAAACTCTGAGAAATCAGATAGAAACTCTGAGTAAGCACCAGGTCAACAATACATAACAACAAATAAAACTGTTTTTTAAGTTTTCCAGTTACAATGGACAAGGCTCAAAGTCAGGCTTTCAAATGAATTAAAACTCTGTCGGGTCTTTGGTTGATTAATAAGTTAGAGTGAATGATTGCTGCCATGCCTCTGGTATGAAAACTTTTGGACCAAAAGTCCAGTTAATTACATTTTGAGCATGATTATCTTCTAGATTAGTGACCAACAGGTATTAAATCGCTGACCAATCAAATCGCTGTAAAATAGCTTCACCATTCGAGGAAAATCCCTTGGACTTCTGTGTATGGACAGCTGGAAAGTTTTTTAATAGCACCCAACGTTTTTATGTTTCCCTAATGAACTTTGGTGATAAATATAGCTGAAACTGTTTTTTACTGTTAACTGTAAACAACTTTATAAAAATTGTATTGTTCTATAAAGATTCATCTTTGGTCCTAAAACAGGACACCTATATGTACTTGCTGATCTTACATCAAATTTACATTGAGACTAAGGAAACATTTGAATTCTGTTTTTTAGATTTATTGTTTTACTTTCTCTCGAACTGTTAAACACCACCAAAGCTGCAGGTGAAAAAAAACAAAACAATTTTCTCCTGTGTTTGAATGATAATACTGTGATATTGATACAGTAAGTCTGTTAAATAACCAGCCAGCCTTTTTCTTGGCTTTGAATGGGCTAGACTTTACTATAGTAGATCTTTAGCGGTTGTACTGAAGAAAACACATTCTTGCAGCACTTTTAACAGTAAACTGCTGCACACATTCATGCCACTGCTTTGTCTGCAGGAGCTGTGTTGCTTTCCATCTATATTATTTGTATTATCTTTTCATATTTTTCATACAATATAGTTTTATCTTCTTCTGCAAAATCAGCTGATTTGATAAAAATATAGATTTACATTTGTATGGATTGGTCAGATGCCACCAGTGCCACTTCTTTCATGTTACCACGCACTGAGGTCCCTTTTTAGAAATATAACTACATGTCATGGAGAGGCGGATGGAAATAACAGTTATTGGTTGTATCTTGCTTGTTCACAATACAAAGTTCAAGGTTCTTTATTTGCCATTTGTGCATAAAACCCTCAGTCAAGGCAAATGGAATTCTTGTGTAGATCGCTCTCAGTCTGTATACTATAAACACAATAGCCATGTTACACATATATAGTTTTCTTTTTCACAGTTTCAGAGTTCTAACAATCCTTGCATAGACTGAATCACTTCTAAAGATCTCTCTTTTACTTTTTATTGGTCAATATTTTTTTAGCCGTTGCGTGCTTTACTACTACTGCTATTTAGACTCTCAGCATAGTGCTTTAAATCAAAAGAACTAAAATTCTGCACAGAAAAAATAACCTGGATTGTTACTGTTCTGGTTCATTCATAGTTATTTTAACCAATTAAACTGGAGATAGCAGAAGGTAAAGGCTAAACAACCAGTAATATGAATATATATATATATATAATAAATAATAATTTTATATTATATAAAAAAAAACAGTGTCCCTGATTAGTTCCTGCTCTCTGGCTGACAATTATAATCAGGGAACCTGGTATTGTCTTGGTTGTCATAGAAACCAATTGGTTGTCAGCACTGCCTGGCACGTGGTTATGCATCTCCTGCACAGAATATGTTTCCGAGAACAATGGCAAATCCAAAACTATGATCAGAATATTTATCATGCTGTAGCTGCCTTTCTGCCCTCAGTGAGGCTGCCTGAAGATCACGCTTACATATATCTAAAGCCACAATTCATAGCTGCAAAATCCTTTAGAAAGACAGGCTGTAAAGGAGTGCTCATCCACAGATGTTCCTCAATCATCCCTTCTTTATTAGCAGAAATAAAACCATGACAAGCCACTCAGAAGTGTAAAAATTCTGCTTGACCCAACATGAATAATCAAAGACCACCGATAGGTTTTATAGCTTACGGGTGAGAGACATTAGATAGCAGACTGGGGCTGATTGAAGGGTGTTTAATACCTTCGGACTGTCCAATTACCAAATAGGTAGCTTTTGGATATGCCAACATCGATGATTTAAATTACAATATTCCTTTTGGCAGTTATACTCTTGTATAAGCCTGCCTCACTTAAAAAATACTTTTGACAGTGTTTATTAAGCTGATACCCAAGTGAAATTTCTCTGCATGAGAAGCAATGAACTTGAATCACACTAATAAAACTGTTGCTTCAAGTCCTGATTCAGTCCATGAAGCACACTAGTATCTTAGCAACAGCTTTAGCAAAATAGTAACAGGAGCTGACTGATGAATTTCTTGTTTCAGATCATCTCACCTAAGCAAAAGCCTGAGGCAAATCAAAAACAGCTCGCTGCTAAATTAGATGAAGAACACATACTGAGCGTAACCCCTTTGAGATCTGTGATTTAAGTTAATTTGTGTGTCTTGTGCTCGTTAGACAGTACATTTTTGAAGTTGCATTTCATGGAGAGTTTTGATATTAAAAATGCTCTTTATATAATGTGTAATTAATAATTTAAATAACCCTAACTTCATGGGGCAAAAGGCATATCAACAAGACAATAACCTGCTGACATCAATGCTTTGCTATTCAATCGTTTTTCTGCTGAGGCTTTCTTCCAGTGCCCTTAAAACTGCATTATTTTATGGGTTTTTTATTATTTTATTACTAAACAAAACTATATTAACTGTGTGAAACTGTAAAATGATCAAAATATACGTTGAGCCACTTTTGATTCCCAATTGATGAAAATGAATTGATGATGATGATGATCTGAGCAATAAATCAGTGTCCAATTCTTAAGCCATCTTATAATATGAGAGACAGTCCTGGTTGATTTCTGCTTTCATTAGCTCTGAATGTCATAATGAGATCAGATATTCTCTTTCATTTGAGGCAAACAAAACCAGGGTAAGTTTTAAATGGGATTTGATTGGAAACTCTAAAGCTAATTAATAATTCTCTTCCTGGTTCTTTAGTTTTTACATGGTGCACATTCTCGCACTGTAATAATACTAAGGAGAGTATAGACTTATAAGTGCGGGTTGTTAGTGGCACTAGATGATAAGATTATACAGTGTGAGCAAAAAAATGTTTT